CGAATTGGCAACTACTGGCATACATATATATAAAAACCAGGTTCCGTTACTGCCGGCATAGATGGAAAAGGATTTTTTAAAGCATCAAATCAATATTTTAATAATCCCTGGATGTTTTCACTTGACTGATAAAGCAATCATCCAGGTTGTTGCTAGTTAATTCCCTAGTGATATGAAACGTTTCTTTCTATAAGAGGCAGTTCCATCTTTAACTTAGACTTAAATATCGAGATTTAAATGTCAGCGGTGCATTAACTTGTATAACCGTGTAATGGTGTATGACAGCAAGTCATTTGCCCACACAATGACATCAACGTGTAGTCACGTTTCTGTTTATATAATGGCAATCTTCATATAGATATGTTTGTAAATAGGGTATGGCTAAAGTGGGACAAATCATGACACTTCAAAACAATGGCTCATGTATTAATGTCATACAAACTACATGTCCTCCAACTTCGTTTTATGACAATCTTGTTGCGTTTATAACACAGGGATCGATTGAGACCTCGAGTAATTTATCAATGCTATTTTTCATTTCCTGTCAATTGATTGATTACCTCTTCTTCATGAGTATAGAAAATGGTAAATAATGATTATTAGTTTCAGTAATAGGCTTTAATAATACATGTCATTGTTTACGTTGGTAGTGTTCGCATTAGGAAATGCTTTTCCGACATGCCTCATGTTAAATTAAGCCGCACTCATTATCCTTTAGTAAGTATAACTTTGAAATACAACATGCACACGTTGGCTAAAATGGCTAATATAGTTACATTGATGAATGTTCAGATATCATATCGTTGTGAAATACTTGGTGCATTTTAAGAAACATATTATTACTGACAATGCAAAAAAGATTATCGATGTAACAAATGATTTAGTTTGAGTACCATTAAGCCTTACCTATGCATTTTTTCACAAATACTATAGGGTATTGTATTATCAAATATCCCCCGACAGCAATCTTACAGCTATTACAGGATGATCGACAATCAAGGGGTTTTGAATCAAATATTCAAACATGTAAAAGGGAAAAGTGCTAAGAGATTGCTGATATCAATATAAAACAGATATTCAACATGCAAAAAAGGAACAAAAAGTGTAAAAAGAGAATGTTAACATCAGAATTAAAATACAGGTTTTAAAATTATTCCGTAAATCTCAGAATCGAGGAAAAATACAATTATAAACTCGTCCCTGTGCTATGGGCTACTTTAGGCAATGGCTGTTCAACGTCTAATTGTTGACGTAGATGATAGTGTTATGGAAATGACGTTGTAACATCAAAGCTCCGAGAGGCATATTACCAAATCAATAAGTCTGACAGATGAAATTCATTACGATAATTATGACACGTTATCATACATATTAGGTACTATCATTTAGGATAGTATTTGTCAAAGTACGGAATTAATTATGTAAATGATGAGGATTTCTGTTTTGTTCCCATGCGACAAGGCGACAAAATGACTGACTAAACCACGTGACCTGTAAAGAGCAGTTCGGTGTTGTGTTAATTGGGACACGCATATATGTCGTGTCAAACTTGAAATGTCAAGGCAGATGGTTCTCATTTGAAATAGCAATCATCTTCACGTCAATGACAGTCTCCAAATTTCCACAGATCCCTTAAGATCCCATTAGGTGCAATATGCACGCATTCTTCACGTTAGTGGGGATAGTGATTGGTTTGCGATTACATGGAAAGAATTATTGTTAAAGCACAAACATTTGAGAATCGCAGCACATTTATAAAATTAATTACTTTACACGTGACCTACTCAGTGTTCAACAGAACTCGCAATGGTATTTTCTGGAATCGCATAAACTGGATTTTAGACCCGATATCGTGGCGCGAGGACCACCATTATATCGGAATGTGCAGAGAGATTGTCAGACATGAATAGGTAACCTGAAGAATTACAAAGGGTTTTTTTTAACCAAAAAAAAATACATTTATCTTTAAATCGAATTCCTATCGAGCGTAGGAAAACAATCACAAAAACATAACAAACATTTTTGTTATGTAGAATACGATACATGATGGTGAATGTCTAAATGTAACACATTTATGTACCATGATTTACATAAAGCCATTCTGAAATAATCAGTCATTCAAGCCTAAGCAATATATGGATGGCGTTACCTACAAATGAGTATCATTAGTAATAGAACATAATACAAGCCTTTCCATAAATAACCATAACAGCCTAGGTAGTGCCACCTGTTAAATTTTCTTAATCTAGGTCCCTGAGGCCTGGGCCGTGTACATTCATATAAAATAGTTTATTTCTGATATATTATGGACAAGTACATGCCTAATGAATGCATTTAGATGCGTGGTGGTAGAATCTGGATGGAGATCAAAGAAAGGGGTCGTACATTTCAGCATATAAGTTGTTGCTATTAAACCACCAATTAAAGAAAGACAAAAAAACCCATTATACCTTAAAATGTTCTTTTAAATATTCTGAACATTTTATATATGTACATATGTCTATGTGTTCATAGCTCGCTCTCTCTCTCTCTCTCTCTCTCTCTCTCTCTCTCTCTCTCTCTCTCAAACTCCTTTCTGCACGTAAGATATTTCGCCGCTCAACGGCTCTTCAGATGTAATGACAACTTAAACGTCATCATAGGCGACGCAGTATTTTTGATGTCATAATACCTATGACGTAGCAGGTAGTGACAATGGAGGGAGACGTAAAACGTAGTCACAGGCAACAGGCAACGCAATGTTTTTGACGTCATAATTCCTATGACATTGTACATATATTATGTATACATTATATATACATGACATGCATTCAAGGAGAAAGAAATTGTTGTCTTGCAAGCAATGATTTAGGGACAGGAAAGCAATTACCAAGAAAAGTTGTTTAAGTGGAAAGAGCAGTCAGCATTTGCGAAATAAACAGTATTATATAACCCGGGTAATTTTCCTAATGAAGTAGGCTGAAGTACAGGCCGCGGTAATGAGAAGGGATGAAAGTGAATGAAAAGAACACACATGAGTGTGATAGACGAACGCTAGTCTGAAGTGCTAACAAGCCATCATTGACCAGCCGTGGTTGTCAGAGTGACCTGTCATTTTCGCACATTGACATGAAAACTTGGCCTTTATTGCTTTCCGGTTGCAGATAATGATCGCCTACAAATCGTCTGCGTCATCTTCTCATTGCGCATAAGACGGTATCTACAAGCCTCTCTTTGAATCAACATGATTGCGCAGCAACTGGAGGTTGATAGGACACAAGGTATCACTAGACCACGTTGTAACGGTGCGCTGTGTTCAGAAGTTGTAATTAATGCTGTGTGGGTAGGACCACTAAATAACAGCAGGACTGGTTATCGTTAAGTAGCTTAAAGCTCAAGAGCTAACAGTGAGCCTGGGCTCCGCGATAGTGGAAGTATGGTTATGATGGTGGGACTGAACCAGCGGGTTCATTACGAATGAAATATTTCAAAACTGTTTCCAACGGCTGTGTATCCTGAATGATGAATATGAACAGTCTCGTGACCATTTGGCTGTCGGTCTTATGATTTTATGAACCGTGGGAATTCCGGGGGAGAATTGGTCCTCAGTGGTCCATGATGGTCTTCAGGTCCAAGAATCCGTTCCTCATGCGCGTTGACTTGGCCGTGGCGTGGGTCGATACTTATGTTTTCTGTCCCTGGTTTTCCTTGTCCAGGTTCGATTGTTTAGAGGCAGCCATAAGGCTTGGATATTGCTGCAGCATTAAACAACACTCACTCACTCACTCACTCACTATAATTATGAATTACTGGTACAACGGAACAGGTGTGCTGTACCTTTCAATAACGTATTGCGCGTGTCATAATCATCTTAAGATATTAATATAAGTGCAGTCTGGCGACTTCACCACTATGGAATCTGATTTTCCTCTGGCGTTGACGCTTTATCGTTCTAACTACGTTGGTACATTTTTCAACCCCGTTTAGCAAAAATTGGAGATTGTCGAACAAAAAAGCCAAAACTGCGACCCTGCTTTCAAGTAAGATGCAGGCAACATTTATGACAACGAGTAGCGTGTTGATATGCTTTAGCCACCTTAAAGTATATAAATATGAAACCATTTCTTTTGACACACATACACTGTGCCCGTTAAAGGCAGTCCCAAAGGTCCGCTTTCTCACCAACGTTGATGTTGCGTTGCGTCATAATCATTGTGTCTATATGTTCAAGTAACAAATACGTGTACTTTCTCTCCTCTAACAAATATCCATAACAGAAATCAATAAGCCAGTATTCATAAATATCTAGGTATAACTCGAAGCTGTTAGAACGTGACTCACTTCTATGGAACCACACTTATGCAAATAATATACATGTAATTACTTAATTCGTCTATGTTACTATGTCAATGCGGAATACGAGACGACCTATACATGAATACGATGGTATGGATATTTTCTCAAGATCCGACATCGGTATTCGCAAATAGGAAAAAAATCCTGATGCGGCGTAAAAAATATTCAGATCGTCAACATGTGAGCAAATCGTGCATAGTTTTGTCACCGCATAAAGCTAACACGTGAAATACGTTTTATCCTGGGACGTAATCAGTATATAGAAACGGGCACAAAAGACTGCATAGTCAATGGAGAGCGGAACTGTAACGGACTGCATACCTGTAGAAGGCACGCTGGTGTTGTAAGCACCATTGATTAAGAACCGTTGGCATTTCACGTCTATTGTTGCACATTATTTAAGTTTATTTGAAATAAACACAATACCTACGTCGAATCGGATGGCCATTACACACGAACGTTGTTTGTTCAGGATCCACGTACATCCGAAAATGAATAAAAAAATCAATCCTTTGCCAGATTTATTAATATCGATTATTGTTCCATTGCTGTCTGTTTTTACATAATGTACGCGATTCAGTTGTGATCTTATTAAGACATACCTACCGTGGAAGAAAAACACCTATTATGGACAAAGGAAAGATACAATATGAAAACTTTCTTACCTTAATAAATCAAATATCTTCCATCAGCAAGGGTAGTTTCCAACTGTTTAATTAAAGAATCCATTACATCTTCGTCTGGGGAATATTGGTAATAATATCCGCAAGAATATTGCCAAACACTGATTTAACCTAATGACACCGCTGGATGGCTGGTCCGTATTGATGAAAACATGTAAATTCCTCTAGCTGAAAACAAAACACCCTTCCACCTCCGTATGATAGCAGATGAACACGTTTCTATTCCCTGATTGGGTGGATCTTGTCGCTAATTCCCCTTGGTTCCTCTGAGTGTTCGCGCCCCAGTGAATCCTATGTTACCAAATATATCCTATCCGACAAGCAGTGGCAGATAGGGGATATCACAACCTATTAGAAATGCCAGTGTATGGTGCGGCCACGTACTGCAGAACCCCGGACAGTTTGGACTGGTGTCTTCTCGTACCGCCTCCAACTGTGGACAACACGATACTTAACAGACAGTGAACACGACTACCTGATTTCATTATGTGGGCACTTTCGGATTATATAGACGACAGTCAACTGTCAATTTATGGCAAGACTTCATAGCTGACATGAAAATAGATTCTTTTTTTATTTCTTGCCCTTTAGTTTATTAGTTGATGTAGTTATCTATTATCTTTATGGGGAGAAATGGAATAGGAAGGAGGACTCAATGAAGTGTCATCACATTTGATGTTGCCTGTAGACTTGAGCGGATGGATTGCTTAATGACCGGTGTCTACCTGCCCCGGAGACATTACCTTAGTTCTTAGTACTTAGTAGGATGGGGTAATTAGTAATACCCTCGCCATGCAGTATGTGTTCTGTCTCCCTGGGGATGCATACGGACAACTGATCTTAACGATTATTCTTATCAGAATTATTTGTTCTTTTCAGTTAAAACCAGATAATCCTAACGTTGTCGTTCCGAGTTAAAACTTCCAGATAAACATGTTACTATCTTAACCGTCTGTATACGAGAGCAAAATTTTCAGATTAACGGTTCAAGTTGAATATATATAGATCCTTTTTATAATTGTCCGGAATGCTGTGTTTCCATAATAAGGGGACTGCAATTTCGATGCCACGTTGTCCATAGAATATTTAGATGCAGTTCACTTTGTCGAGAAATCGCCATTTGCAAATTAACAAATAGTGTTATGATAGTGTTATTTTAATTCACTATAGTTTTCAACATGTTGTTTGTCAATTACTAACCTCAATAATGCCGATGTCCACTGTAAGGTAAGGTGGGGTTTTTAAGGGTATATGAGTGTTTTATATTTGTGTACACGCTGTGAATGTCAGGACAAGTCATGATCAGAACTTTCACTTTGTTCAAAATACAAGTGACTATTGATTTATTGAGTGGTATTTAGACGGGTTTTCACGAAGGACGAAAATTAAATGGATTTCAACTTCAAGGTACATTGAAGCAACTTGTCAGCCTTGACACTGATACGATTTCAAACATATTGTATTTATTTTATATTTAATTAAAAAGTGGCTTCCATTTTAGTGTAATTGAAGACGTGAGGTGATGGAGTCATAATGTTCGGAGAACGAGTGCGGCAACATCGTGAGTGATAGTTTACGCCGCTTTACAAACGTGTGGCAACATCACACCAGTGTACACAAACGCAATGTGTGCCGTTGTGTAGACTCGAACCCGGTCAAATGGCGAAAAACACAACACGGGTTCGAGGTTTTTTTTCCCTTATAAATCATTTGGCAAACCATATATAACTTTTTAATGAAACGTATTTGTGATTTCCACATCTGTCTTATAAGTTGCATGAAATAGTGTAGGGCATATATATCCTTTTTGATATCTCTGTCTTGTATTGCATCTGTATCCTGTAAGACATCTCCATCTTGCATGGCATCTTCATGTTTTGTGGTATATCCATCTTGTATGGCATCGCTGTATATATAAGCTGTATGGCATCGCTCTTTCTCTCTCTCACTTGTATGCCATATATATCCTGTCTGACATCTCTATCTTGTATGGCATTTTTATGTTATGTGGTATATCCATCTTATATGCCATATCTATGCTGTATGGCATCGCTCTCTCTTGTATGACATATATATCCTGTATGACATCTCTATCTTGTATGGCATTTTTATGTTATGTGGTATATACATCTTGTATGGCATATCTATGCTGTATGGCATCGCTCTCTCTTGTATAACATATATATCCTGTATGACATCTCTATCTTGTATGGCATCTTTATGTCATGTGGTATATCCATTTTGTATGGCATATCTATGCTGTATGGCATCGCTCTCTCTTGTATGACATACTAGTATATATCCTGTATGACATCTCTATCTTGTATGGCATTTGTGTGTTGAATGACATCGATATCTTTCATGGTATCTTTATGTTGGGTGGTGTATCCATCTTGTATGGCATCGATGTCTTCTATGACATCTTCATCAATATCAATAACCTGTATATATCTGCCTTGTATGTTATATTTGTATCTTGTATAGTATCTCTTTCTATAGTATGGTCTCTTTATCATGTATGGTATGTTTATCTTGTATACCCTCTCTATCACGTAGCGTCTTTATGTCGTATGGCATGGTATCTCTCCTCTCACTCTTGCATGGCATATCTATATTGTATGACATCTCTCTCTTGTATGGCATACCTATGTTGTATGGCATCTCTGTCTTGTATGGCACATCTATGTTGTATGGCATGGTATCTCTCCCCTCACTCTTGCATGGCATATCTATATTGTATGACATCTCTCTCTTGTATGGCATACCTATGTTGTATGTCATCTCTGTCTCTCTCTCTCTCTCTCTCTCTCTTGCATGGCATATCTATGCTGTATGGCATCTTTCACTTTTATGGCATATCTATGGTGTATGTCATCTCTCCCTCTCTCTCTCCCTCTCTCTCTCTCTTGCATGGCATATCTATGTTGTATGGCATTTCTCTCTTGTATGGCATATCTATGTTGTATGGCATCTCTCTCTTGTATGGTATATCTATGTTGTATTGCATCTCTCTCTCTCTCTTGCATGGCATCTCTCTCTCTCTCTCTCTCTCTTGTATGGCATATCTATGTTGTATGGCATCTCTCTCTTGTATGGCATATCTATGTTGTATGGTATCTCTCTCTCTCTCTCTCTCTTGCATGGCATATCTATGTTGTATGGCATCTCTCTCTTGTATGGCATATCTATGTTGTATGGTATCTCTCTCTCTCTCTCTCTCTTGCATGGCATATCTATGTTGTATGGCATCTCTCTCTTGTATGGCATATCTATGTTGTATGGCATCTCTCTCTCTCTCTCTTGCATGGCATATCTATGTTGTATGGCATTCTCTCTTGTATGACATATCTATATTGTATGGCATCTCTCTCGTGTATGGCATATCTATGTTGTATGGCATCTCTCTCTCTCTCTCTCTTGCATGGCATATCTTTGTTGTATGGCATCTCTCTCTCTTGTATGTTATATCTATGTTGTATGGCATCTCTCCCTCTCTCTCTCTCTCTCTCTCTCTCTCTCTTGCATGGCATATCTATGTTGTATGGCATTTCTCTCTTGTATGGCATATCTATGTTGTATGGCATCTCTCTCTTGTATGGTATATCTATGTTGTATTGCATCTCTCTCTCTCTCTTGCATGGCATCTCTCTCTCTCTCTCTCTCTCTCTTGTATGGCATATCTATGTTGTATGGCAACTCTCTCTCTCTCTCTCTTGCATGGCATATCTATGTTGTATGGCATCTCTCTCTTGTATGGCATATCTATGTTGTATGGCATCTCTCTCTCTCTCTCTTGCATGGCATATCTATGTTGTATGGCATTCTCTCTTGTATGACATATCTATGTTGTATGGCATCTCTCTCTCGTGTATGGCATATCTATGTTGTATGGCATCTCTCTCTCTCTCTCTTGCATGGCATATCTTTGTTGTATGGCATCTCTCTCTCTTGTATGGTATATCTATGTTGTATGGCATCTCTCTCTCTTGTATGTTATATCTATGTTGTATGACATCTCTCTCTCTCTCTCTCTCTCTCTCTCTCTGTCTCTTGTATGGCATATCTATGTTGTATGGCATCTCTCTCTCTTGTATGGTATATCTATGTTGTATGGCATCTCTCTCTCTCTCTCTCTTGTATGGTATATCTATGTTGTATGGCATCTCTCTCTCTCTCTCTCTCTCTCTCTCTCTCTCTCTCTCTCGCGCCAAGTCGTATCTCATCTCTATGTTAGATGATATCTTTATGTTATGATATAGTATGTTGTACATGACATACATATCATATCACCTCATGTGACATGCAGACTACCATTAAGACGAATACCTCGAAATTCCATTTGACACTTTACTATTCATGGATGATATGAGGTCACGGACATAAAGCTGACACACCAACGACCATTGACAGGATTCGAACCCATGACCAGCGGATACTGGCGGATAGCGGGAAAAGCTCTGCTTAGTAAATTCCGGTCACGGTAAAGTAGGTATCAAGTACAAAAGTCTTGTCTTTTCGTTGCTTATGTACTCAACAATGCCTTGCATGAAAAGTTAAATGCTTCAGTAATCAGAAAAAAATTATATCGTGCCGTTAAAACTAAATACTTGATTTTTTGTCATAAGATATATTTCATTTATTTTACGTCTTTCTAAATTACATGAAATCAATTTGTTATACGCATTTGGAATCTGTAAATTGTATGGGATATCTGTTATCTCATCATTATGTTGTTTGGCTTTGTTGTATTGTATGACATGCGTAAATCCATCTTATATTTCTTCTTTGAATGACATACTGTACGTAGAACTCGGATAGAACGAACATGGATAGTGCAAACATACTGATACAACGAAATGTTACAAAATACCCGATTTATTTTCTATATATTATCATATACAATATATCATATTCTCAACAGCGAATTAACGTATACAGCGAACTGATATCGATCCCTGACAAACCAAAATGCCACTAATTGGTGACGTGTAGAGCGAATTGCTCACTCACTCACTCACTCTATGTTATGGACGATATCTATATGACATCTTTATTTAGTGAGCCATCTTTATATCGCATGCTATATGATATCTCTATCGCATGTTATATAACATAAGTTATATTATTTAATCTATGTTGTGTGCTGACGTGACACAACACTCATCACCCCCCCCCCCCCCCCCCCCCCCCCCCCCCCACACACACACACACAAACACACATATATGTATATATACACATATATGTAAACAAGGGTGGGTGATGGATGTTGTGTAGAGTCAGCTTATGTATAAATATATACAACACACACACACACACACACACACAC